AAGTTTTAATAAGTATAGGAAATTATTTTAAAAGATGAATGAACTCTTGGATTTTTATTGTACCTAGAAACAAAATTAACTTATTTGCATTTTTATTTTACTAAAGGCCAATGAAAAACTGTTCTTGAAACAAGTTTATATTTCCAAGAATGACTTTTCTTTCATAATACAAAATTTTCAGTCTCCACTTCTTTATAATGTTACTAGAGGCCAGGTGCATGAAATTTGTGCACAGGGAGGCGGGGTCCCTCAGACTGGCCTGCATCCTCTCGCAATCTGGGACCCGTCAGGGGATGTCCGACTGCCAGTTTAGGCCTGATGGATTGGGCCTAAACTGGCAGTCAGACATCCTCTCACAATCCAGGATCTCTGGCTCCTAACTGCTCAACTGCCTGCCTGCCTGATTGTCCCAACCGCTCTGCCTGCCTTCCTGATTACCCCTAACTGCGGGTGGCTGCCTGGCTTCCACCCTTGCAGCTGCAGAGGCTTCCTGGATATTGTGGCCACAGCCCACCCAAGGAGCTGGAAGGTCCGGAAGGAAGGACAGAGATCTGGAATGACTTCGTCTTTATCTAATTAGCATATTACCCTTTTATTATATAGGATGAGAAATTAAAGACACTGAATCAGAGTGTAGAATCTTTCCAGGGTTTATTGTCTGTCTTCCCAATCTTTTACAGAAATATATTTGAAAAAGGCATCTGCAAAGTAAAAAACAAATGAATCTGCCCTGACCAGTTTGGCTCAGCAGATAGAGCATCGGCCTGCAGACTGAAGGGTCCCAGGTTCGATTCCGGGCAAAGGCATGTACCTTGGTTGCGGGCACATCCCCAGTAAGGAGTGTGCAGGAGGCAGCTGATCGATGTTTCTCTCTCATCGTTGTTCCTAACTCTCTATCCCTCTCCCTTCCTCTCTGTAAAAATCAATAAAAATATATTTTTAAAAAACACAAAAAAATGAATCTTATGCTGTATTTGAGGTTTCCTAAAATATTCAGTTTAGTTTTATGCAATCCCATTTATTTTTACATATTTTAACAGTTGGTATACTATTTATCTGAATAATCCGTACCTCTCTTAGAGTACCATAGAGATACCATGTTGAACATTTGGGAAAATGGAAATTTGGGCCATGGCTTGGTTTGAATATTGTATTTAGACATAATTTTGTATAAATGAAAAATAAAATATAACTTTTTAATTTTTTGGTAAGATAATATTTAAATATGGATGTGTAAAACTAAAAATACTAAGTGATAATTAGTTTTATTCAAAATGTTCAAAATTATGCCACCTTAAAGTGCCTCAAGATGCACATGACAACCCAGCTGAGGCAGTAGGTATAGTTTTCAGGGATGGCAAAATTATTCTTGCATGTGTGTGAGATCAGAAAATATATTGTGGATTTTGGAGAACTAGAGTTGTTAAAACCTTGCAGGAAATTTGGTAGTGTTCAGCATCAACAGAGCACACTGTTGGTGAGGTTATGTTTTTTCAATGAGACCCCCATCATTTTTTTATACAGCACTGAAAACACAAAGGTAATTCATATGGTGTCTCTATCTTTAAGGCAGTTCCATCAACTTTGAGATTATACAGTCACGAGGAAAGTTTATGATATTGAGGTGCTAAATCTAATAATAGTAGCTCCTATGATGAACTCAAAATCACTAGAATGAAATTTGAAAAACTTCCAAAGCCTTTCTACCTTGTGACAATTAGAATGTGCTTGGCAGAGAAGTGAAGGCATTGTTTAGTTTCATTGCTATCAGGAAATGACTATTCAAAGTATCTCTCAGAGGACAAGGATCTTGGAAATATATATCCACATCCACACCCACACAATACACATCCGCAACATATATATTTAAAACCTCAAGTGTTAAATGATCCTTTATTTGAAATTCCCAAATACAAGTTTTATTCTACTACTTTTTGATATTTGTAATTTCCATACTGGAGGTGAGGAACAGGCATCTGATTAATCTCAGTTTTCAGGTTCAACTCTAATATGACTTAAATACTTTATAGGACTGATATGAGAATAAAACTAAATTAACTAATGGATTTTTATTATTGTATTTATTGGACAAAACCTTAGTCTGTATATACCACCATCAGCATTATACTAGATACAGGTGATATTAAGATGATTTAGACAAGGTCCTTTTTCTAAATTTCTTTTTATAGCTGCCAATTCAATGTTTATATTAGGAAGTCCTATGTTATTTATTATACATTTCCATAAGGTCAGGGTATTTTTGCATGTATTTCCTCATTTCAATCACCTTTCAAAATAAATTCATTACCTCATAGAATACAACACATTTTTACTGAGACCAGTAAAAACAAAAATGTTCAAGTCATAGGGCATTTTTATTATCATACACTCGGCAAAATGTTACAAGAGACTGGTAATAAAATATTAAATCACTAAATATACATCACAAATCCCCAATTCTAAAGCTACATTTTAATATTATATAGTTTGGAAGCTGTATAAAGAACTGAACCCAGGAGGAAACCTGTTAAAGCATTCTAGAAGAGATGCCAAGAAAAGTCTGAGCTTAGTCTTCAAGAATAAAGATGATTTTTACCATGTGAAGAATAGTAAGTCATTTCTACTAGATAAACATTAAAATAAGAGTGAGAAAAAAATAAAAATAGAAACACTTTCAGAAGTGAGTAAGGTCTTAACACCAAAATGAGAAGAGAACATCAAGAACAAAATTACAATTAGGTATATAACAAAGTTGTCCAGTAAAAATAATCTGGCCTTTGTCATTATGGAGATCATTGGTCACATTTGGAATTAAAGGATGGTGAGTGCGGTGTTAATGGTGAAAACCTCACACAACATTGTGTAGGACAGATGACCATGGCTCCACATGAAAAATCTATTACAAAACCGGAACACATTCATATGAGGAAACTGCTACTTTTTGCCCTTACACCCACTGGCAGTATGTTTAATCAACTACACAAAATGGCAACATGTCAAACTTATATAAAGAATGTGATGCAAACATATACAAACCAGAAAACAGCATATAGAATGAAGGAAAGAATGCAAATATCCCAAGTGCTATCATTTGCTATAGGTTCACTGTATATTAGGTCAAAGTCACTAACCTCCTTGTATAATTGTTTGTATGAGCCTGCACCTGTATTATACTTAAACTTTATATTTAAGTTTTTTTTCCCCTTTTTGTATTTATTTATTTATTTATTTATTTATTTTTTATTGCTTAAAGTATTACAAAGGGTAT